GGGGGGGGGGGGGGGAGGGAGGTGTTAAGAGGGGATGCAGTGTGGAACCAGTGCTAAAGCCCATGTGACTGGCTCTGACTAGCAGGGGCAGAAAGCATCTCTGGGCACTGCTCTCCCCCCCCCACTCCCTGTCCACGCATGCGCGCACGCACACGCACATGGAATGGGAATAGCAGCTAAGGCGAGTTGCAGGGGTGGCACTTGCAAATGCAGGGTAGCACAGAGCCACCTGTGCCAGGTAAGCCCCCCAGTCCTTTACCCCCTTGAGCATCCTACCTCCAGCACAGACCCTACACCTCCACCCTGAACCATAGTGTCCCAAAATGCTTAAGTGAGATATGCGCGCACGCACACGCACATGGAATGGGAATAGCAGCTAAGGCGAGTTGCAGGGGTGGCACTTGCAAATGCAGGGTAGCACAGAGCCACCTGTGCCAGGTAAGCCCCCCAGTCCTTTACCCCCTTGAGCATCCTACCTCCAGCACAGACCCTACACCTCCACCCTGAACCATAGTGTCCCAAAATGCTTAAGTGAGATGAGGGTCTCTCTCCTCCCCTTCTCATTTGGGCCCAAGTCAATGAAGGTTGGAATTTTGGGGGGTGTTGTTTCTTCCCACTTGTGTGGCTCCCAACTTTTTTTCTGCTGATCTATGGTCCCTGTCCCACACAAGGTTCATTACCCCTCATCTAAATGAACAGTAACCAGTGTGTACTTCATAACACTTGCGTCATCAACAGGAACTCACCCGGCCAAATGGTTCAAAGATTCCACGAAGCATATCTTCAGTTATGTTAAAGTGTAATGATCCTACATATAGTCTCATAGGTCCAGCACTGCCCTTTTGTAGGTTATTGGCCATTGCAGCTGCTCTGTTTTTCTCTGCCTAGGGAAAACAAGATTTCTATGATCTTTAAGAGCCTAAGTTAAAAAAATATAGCTACCCAAACCTAGCAAACTCACTAAGAGGTCCAAGTTCTATAAATAAATACGACAAATAAAAATGACTGCGACACAAGCTAACTGTAATAAATGCAACGAAAAGTCCACACACTTGATTAGAATTATGAAACTATAAATACGCTTCCAGCAGTATGAATGAATGGTGTAGAATATGGATTGATTTAAGTAAACAGAATGCAGTTTGCTTGTTAAGTATGCATGATTTCTATATATAGGAAATGTAATACTGTGTAAGTCATTTAACATTCCCATTCTTAACCTTAATTCCTTACCTAACCATCTACATTTAACACTGTATTGATCGGTCTAGTTTTATTTACTCATTTCTCTGTGGAGTATTTATTAAACTGAAGCAACCACTTCAGTTAAGGTTATAGTAATGTTTCAACTGTAACTCAATATTCAGCTACTCAGCCATAAAACTGGTAAAATAAAAATGGATTTCAGCCAGCCTTCTGAATTCTCTGGCCTTCTAAATAACTGTGCTACCCCTTCACACAATTAACAGTAACAAAAATTAGTACAACTTTGGCATAAATGTGAAATGGAATAAAGTGCTACTAGACTGTTTAAGTTTTCTCTACAAATTAAGTCTCACTGAAACCAATGGTGCTCCAAGGATATGTATATTAGCTCTTGGTCAAGCAAAGTATGCTGCAGCATAAATGTCACACAGTTCTATGACAAGAAAAAACCAACCACAAACTTACCTGTGACGCTTGTACTATGATTGGCACTCCCAGGACACGCTGTCCAGTTAGTCCTATTGCCAGAGGTACTGAACTAACGTCAACAAATTCTACATAAGCAATTCCCTTGGAACGTCTTGAATTTCTATCAGAAATCATCCTCACATCACGAACCTACAAAAACAAAAGAATGAAAATCTCAGGTTTATCATTAATGTCTATTTAGTGCAACTAACTTATGTAGTTAATGAGGGACTTGGAAGTTCATGAATATGTACTGAAGTTAGCTGTTGTTTGACTCAAAACTCTACAGACTAGATACACAGTAGGGATGTAAAATCCCAGTTATCAGTTAACTGGTTATGTGTTAGGTTGACTCAACAGTTAAATGGGATCCAGGATAGGTAGCTCCCCTAGCCCCGGCATTCCCTGCCTGCAGCAGTTAACTGGAACCAGTAAGCATTACCCATTTAGGGGGATTCTTACCCAGTTAACCTTTCACATCCCTAATGTGCAGTCACACTACCCTAAACACACCCCAAAAAGTTACCTTCACAAAAATCATCTTTTGACGGAATTCTGACAAAACTGAAGCTAATAAGGAAAAAGGATTGTAGATTCTACTTTGTCAAAGCTCTTGCATCAATACACATTTTGTAACAGCTTACCCGCAGAGCTACCATATTAAAAAAGGACCTAAACTTAAATTCCTTCTTATGCTACAGACCCAAAAGAGAACATCTTACTTTTTATTGCAACAATACATAGAGGACCTTATCAGAATTACTCCTATTGTACTGGTCACTGTCATACATTTGTACAAAGTCAAATTACATGAGTTGAAACTGTGATTTTGCAAACTAGTATTGACATAAAACTTCTGATTAAATATGAAGTCCATGTGAAGAGGGCCTCCTGCAATAGAGGCCATAAGCAACTATTTTACTTAGTACTATGTAGAGAGCTTAGACAGCACACTAACAATATTTAGGTTAATTTAACCCACCCTCAATTACCTTTCCTACAGTAGAGAAAAATTCTTCCAAGTCTCTTGGCCGAATTCTTGCAGCCAACTGCATACAGAACACTGTTCGAGCATCTCTCTCTTCAGGGGTCAAATTATCAATTGGCTCTCTTGGGAGAGGGGGGGGAAAAACAGTGATTAATTACTCAGTTCTGATTTAAGGCAACTGACACTTTGAACAAAAGCAAAACTGTCATTTAAGCCTGACAAGTAGTGAAAACATTTACACAACTTTTTAAAAAAGTTGTGACAAGATTTAGAAAGAACCTAGAGATAATCCTCAAAATTGATTTTCAGAAGTAACAGAAAACTATGCCCACTAATCATAGTGTGAATTACCCAACACTTGGTTGAAAAATTGGGCTACTTGTGTATTAAGTTTATACTGCAGAACTTCCAGACTCAGTCCATTGTGATACACACTGAACTCTTTCGGCGGTCAAGCACGACTTGCCCTTTGTGAATCCATGCTGACTATTCCTGATCACTTTCCTCTCATTCAAGTGTCTCAAAATGGATTCCTTTATGATCCCTTCTATGATTTTTCCAGGAACCGAGGTAAGCCCCAGTCAGTTCCTTTTTTTTCTCTCAAGTTTTGCTGCTATTGGGGAGGGGGGCATGAGGGTTTCTCAAAAATCAAAAAGGGGCCATGATGCCGAAAAGTTTAGGAACCACTGAACTAAAAGATGATATACAACAGACTGAAGAGCTTAGACAGGGAATGAGGAAACAGGAAACAAAATAAGACATTTTATCAGACTAATTCATCATTTCTTAGATAGAAGCCATAATTACAATTACATCAAGGGACCTAATTTTATGCATTTTTTTTTATAAGACATGCAAGTGACTATGGTCGAGGATGTCTAAGTATAAGAGTCCTAACTGACTACGGGGCCATTTTACACAAGTACACTATCACTCTTGTATCTTTAAGTAACACCAACATGTCCATACATAGACAGTCCAATGATTAAAGTTGGTCATTGGATATTTTAAGTTTCAGTATTTGTTACAATCAAAGAATTTTAAAAATCCAGAAACTGCAAAGAGTGTAAGTTCTAACAAAATTAAGAAAACTGAAAAAACGGTAACTGAATTACTATAGCCACTTGCCATAGCACCACAGTTTTAATAGCAGTGTGGGGTAGGGTTGCACCACTTTCAGTAACATTCTGACGCACAAATTTTTAGTTCTACAGATTTGAATCATACTTTGCCAGTAAGCAAAAATGAAGATAATTCTGGAAATCAGGGTATTTAGAAAAATAGTCTAACTATATTTAGATTGAGCTAAATGGTGTAATATTTAGGAATTGACACAATATGGTCTAAGTTAAGAAATATTTAAGCTAAGCATAAGGAAAACTTGATTGTTTCCCTGTCCAACACGTCATTCAATTACACTGCATGTAACATAACATTCCAGGGGCAGGGAGGGAAAAAAAAAATCACATTTTTAAGTCAACAGAATGGATGACCAAAATAGTATTCTCTCACAGCTTTTAAGACTACTAACGAGACTGAAAAAAACTTAGTCTATAAGGTGCCACAGGACTCCTCGTCGCTTTTGCAGATTCAGACTAACACGGCTACCCCTCTGAATTTCAACTGAGTAAATTATAACCCAATCCAAATAGTCTTAAGCACGAAAAGTGAAGCAGCATTTAGGCATAGCAATTTAGTAACTGTGGTAACAAGGTGTTTATAGTACAGGCAGTCCCCGGGTTACGTACAAGATAGGGACTGTAGGTTTGTTCTTAAGTTGAATCTGTATGTAAGTCGGAACTGGTGTCCAGATTCAGCCACTGCTGAAACTGATATAACCCAATCCAAATAGTCTTAAGCACGAAAAGTGAAGCAGCATTTAGGCATAGCAATTTAGTAACTGTGGTAACAAGGTGTTTATAGTACAGGCAGTCCCCGGGTTACGTACAAGATAGGGACTGTAGGTTTGTTCTTAAGTTGAATCTGTATGTAAGTCGGAACTGGTGTCCAGATTCAGCCACTGCTGAAACTGACCACCAGTTCTGACTTACATAAAGAATCAACTTAAGAACCCCAAGCGTCCCCAAGTCAGCTGCTGCTGAAACTGATCAGCAGCTGATTCCAGGAAGCACGGGGCAGAGCAACGTAAGTCGGATCCGCGTAAGTCGGGGACTGCCTGTAGTTAATATATAATGGTCTTCTGTTGATATGCGTTTTAGTAGTTAAATTCCTGGACTCCCATTACTCATTAAAAGTGCTGTCAGATGGGTGGAAACCGGGTAAATATTGCATTTTATTATCATCAGCAGAACTGACTTAAATGGAGCAAGGCTGTCAGAGGCTATTGACTTCAATAGACTGGACTTAAATTTGATCATTTACACCAGCTAAGAATCTGCCCCTAATGCGTGACGTAGCTTAGCGAGGAGGAATAACAATGTGGACCTAGGATGACAAACTAAATCAACTTCAGTTTCCAGTTGTGACCCCAGGCAACCTCTCAGACCACTAAGCCTTTGCAGTGCCTAGCTCCAAGGAGGGGTTTTGGTATAGTTTATCTTGGCTGAACAGATCCTAGGGTTGCTGTGTGACAAAGCTCTGCAACATCACTTTTGTGTTCACTCTGTAATCATTCCAAAACTGCAATGACCCTTCCCCGCCAAAGGGTATTTGCAAAGAACAAAGTTTTGGGTGATTGATGCCAGACACACAAAAGTGTTTGCTATTCCTTTAAGTCCTATACCTTATACCTCAGCAACTACTAATGCTTTCTCAAGCTAATAATCCCTTTTCCCCACAATAAGGCACTGGCTGATACCAGTGCACCAGAATGGGTGATTTCTGTTGGACCACAGCAGCTATCATTTCAACATCCTGATGCAGAGAGGCTGGATTAACCGTATTTAAAAAAACCCACAACGTGAATGTTACAAAGGACCGCTGCCTGCGAGCTCCGGGGCGAGAAAGCCCCATTCGTAAGTGCGGATCCGACATAAGTCGGATCCGCGTAAGTCGGGGACTGCCTGTAATTGTGAATTTACTTATTGTATGGATAGTCCCTCACCAGGATTCCCCTTCCCCAACCTCTGCACACTCCTTCCCTTCCCAGGCAAAGCAGCATGGATACTTACATAATGATCAGTGAGATGTGGCAACTGGCAATCCTACATCTAGCTTGCACAGAAGTTAACTGCGCAGAACTGCATCTCACATGACATTCACCATAACAAGAATAATTGCAAGTTAAGAAATAGTAATGTGAAAACCTACCTAACAGGACTCTTATCTTTTCTGAATGGACTTTTGCTTCTGGACCGCCGTCTGCTATAAACATAAAAAAAATTGTTTGTAAAAAGTACAAAGATTAATTTTTAGTACACACATTTGACTAGCCACAAAAATAGAAAACTTGAGAAACCTTAATTTGATGCTGTGAGGCAGACCGATCTTCCCTCTGATAGCACTGTTGAATTTTGGACCAGAACTAAGGTAAAAACAAAGAAAAGCTTCTTATAAATTCAGTACGCGACTAGGAAATATATAGTATTTGCCAACATAATGCTTATTAATTTTTTTGAATTGTTACATGGGCGCAAATACATTTCACATAGTGCCACCTCAAGAATCTTAGTTTGACACAAATTGTAAGAAAAGAGTATACTTGTTCCAGGAATCCTCTGCTGTCCTAAACTTATTTTAGTACTATTTCTGCATATACATATATGTAAATCAGAGGCTTTGACACACTAAGTGCAACTGTGAACCAACCTTAAAAGTCTCATTAACTGAAGATACTCATTAACTACACTGTGCAACCAAGTAACAACGATGCCGCTCAAGCAGCATGCCATTATCCACTCATATCACAGCTAGACAACTGACCAGAAACAAACTTGGGGAAAAAAAATATGCTCCATTGCTTGCACGCAGCTTTTTTATGTAACAAGTAGGACTTAACCACCAACTAGGTATCTTCCTTCTGGAATGGTTTTGTCCATTTTTTTCTACATACCTCTGCTTACTTCCTGCTTTGTGCACCAGCATCAGCGATGTCAGCAAAACTCTGGGAATACAGTTTGTTAGTTAACGCTTGATGCAAGCCCAGCAGGAAGAGGGTAGTTAATGTTTTTTGTGGCTCCCATAAAAGTGTTTTTATATAATTAAGTATATTGGTATTAAGAATCTGAACCCTCCTGGAAACTATCATCCAGAGTTTTAAGTGTGAAATCTACAACTTGACCTGCTTTAACTACTAATTTTCTACCAGGACTTAAAATAGATAAATTCCTCTCATCCTAACCCTAAAGTTATATTCTAACTTTATGCTACCTAATTTCTCAATTTTTTTAGTTCCATTTAACCAAAGCACAGATTTTATTTGTAGTTTAAGATAAAAACAAAATTACCAAAGTAGTAACTGAAACATTCAATTTTATGCATTTTCTCCTTACTTCAGAGTTGCTGTTTCCAAAGAACAAAGTTCAAAGTAATAAGTAAACTGACAAGTTTAGAAAGTACATAGTCCAATTTAAACTTTCACAATACATGCTCAATTTTATATTAAAATAACTTACTATGGGCTTCTATAGCGGCCTCTGAATCTGCGTTCTCTACTTCTAGAACGGCTACGTCTGCGTTCTTTGCTTCTGCTGCGTTTCCTTTCCCGACTTTTGCTCTTTTTCCTCTCACGATCACGACTTCGTTTGCGTTCTTTACTTTTGCTCCTCTTCCTGTCATGACTACGACTTCTACTCTTGCTCTTTTTTCTCCTAAGAAAATAGAATGTGTTATGGTTGTAAAGAAACTGCAATTTGGCTTCTGTCATAAAGCATTAGCTTTCCTCATCTAACAAGTCAGTCTTCACCCTGACAATGTTAATAGTTTTATTTCCGAAATCTGTATTGTCAGTCACTAATACAGAAATGGAGAATGACACTATTTGCACAGGTCTCACATGTTTGCAAAAAGATCAATTTAGAACTCAGTATCTGAGTATGAATGCTTCCTGGTTTCAACTCTCACTTTTTGACTTTTTAAGTATTAGAAAAAATACTAAGCCTCCAAGAATGGTAGTGGGGCTGTATGTAAAATGGCACATTAAATTCAACACCTCAATTACTGTGTTGAAAAAGTATTTTCAGTGAGCAGCTATGCTTTCTACATCTGAGAAGAATCAAGTCAAGCAGGGGCTGACTTTTCATAGTAGAAGGAAGACAAAAACGACAATTACCCTTTTATTAAATCCTGAGATCTTGGAATTTCACAGCACTAACATAACAATATGCAACTGTCTTCAGTTCCTATTAACTACATTTCCAGTAGTTATTACACAATTTCACAAGCACAATACTGTTCATTGCTTACAAACGAAAATACCATTTACTTTTCTAAAAGATTAGCATTGTACACAAAGTCCCCGCTACATATATCTGGACCGAAAGGAGCGCAACAATAAGACACCATATAGTGTGATACTTTCCATGAGTTTTGCTGCTCAAAAATGCAAAAACTTGAACAGGCATCAAAGGCTTGACTAAAGATGTAAAATCCCATTTCAAGAGTAAACCAGTTAAACAGTTCACCACAAGTAGCAGGGGGCACTGCTCCAGCCAGGCCACCAGTTAACCTGTGGCATCCGCATCATTTTTTCCCTACCAGTAAAGGTTGAACATCTCTGGTTCGGCACTCTGGTCCAGCAACATCCATGGTTCAGCATGATTTTAGTTAACCGGTGGTCCATTTATCATGGGTGGTGTCAAGTTTCCTGTGGTCCCATAAAGTTTATTTACAGCTACCAGACCTGGCTCTGAGTGTTCTGTGATGGTATTTAGCTCTACTTTACCATTAAATATCTTCAAAGAGCCCAGTAAGCAGTGGAAGTGTTGATAATACTGCCAGACAATATTGACCTCCCATGGCTCAGCAACAGTCAAGTCCTGAGGCTGCCGGACACAGTGCTTCAACCTCTATTACTTAAGTGACATGCATGTAAAGCAAGGGCACATGAAGAGAGATCTGTACTCACTGCACACAACATTGACTTTAAAAGCCATGTGCTTCTTCTGCATCCAAATACTACATACGCACGTTCAAGTTAGCAAAAGTACCCTACCCCATGAGACTGTTTTGAAAACAATCTTGCAGTCCACTAAGATAAAAGAGGGCCAGTCATGCAACCTACTCACTAGCTTAAGTTGTCCATCACTAATTAAAAAAAAAAAAACACACACACACACGGGTCTGATTTTTGAAAACCTCCAACAGTAAAATTATCAGACTTCTGTAACAGAAAGTTTCTGAACAGCTTTGAGCATTTTGTTCATAGTGTCCTCTTAAGTTATACCTCAGTCATTAGACCTTCCTGCAATGCATCCTTTTTAGTATCTTCATGAAAACACTGACAATGGGTGAGAAAACACAGCTGAAGTGACAGCAATGGCTAGCTCTACATTTCCTTTGCTATCTCCCAACTATCTCCACGCTTTGCCAAAACCATTACCTGGTTGCAGACCAACTCAAAAAAGCTGAACCGAGTAACACTGTGGTGAATAAAGCATGACATGCAGTCTGGCATGACAGTCTTATCAACAAACTAGGGAAATACAACCTAGATGGGGCTACTATTAGGTGGGGTACATAACTGATTGGATAACCATTCTCAGAGAGTAGTTATTAACAGTCATGGTGGAAGGGCATAACAAGCAGGGTTTCACAGGGATCAGTTCTGGGACCAGTTCTGTTCAGTATCTTCATCAGTATCTTCAACAATAATTTAGATAATGGCACAGAGAGTACACTTAGTCTGTAGATGATCTGGACAAACAGGAGAAATGGTCTGAGGTAAACAGGATGAAGTTCAACAAGGACAAATGCAAAGTATTCCACTTAGGAAGGAACAATCAGTTTCATGCACACAAAATAGGAAGGGACCGTCTAGGAAAGAGTACAACAGAAAGATCTAGGGGTCATAGCGGACTACAAGCTAAATATGCGTCAGTGTGACATCTTTGCTTCCTTTGCAACAATAATTCTGGGATGCACGTACAAGAGTGTTGTGAGCAAGACAAGAAGTCATTCTTCCCCTCTACTGTGCATTGATTAGGCCTCAAGTAAAGTACTATGTCCAGTTCTGGGTACCATATTCCAAGAAAGATGTGGAAAAATTGAAGAGGGTCCAGAGAACAGCAACAAAAATGATGAAAGGTCTAGAAATCATGATCTATGAGGGAAGACTAAAAGTACTGGGTTTCTTTAGTTTAGAAAAGAGAAAAAACAGAGGGGACATGACGGCAGCTTTTAAGTACCCAAAAAGTGTTACAAGGAGGGAGATTATATTATTCTCCTTAACCTCTGATGATAGGACAAGCAATGGGCTTAAATTGCAGCAAGGGAAGTTTAAGTTGAATATTAGGAAAAACTTCTAACTCTCAAGGTGGCTAAGCACTGGAACAAATGGCCTAGAGATGGTTAATTGACTTAAATGGGCCTGTGTGTTGTGTAGCTTAATCTTTGTATTCATGCCAGTCAGGATGAAAAACTATCTGCATATACATACAACCACATTTAAGTTGCGGCCCTTGGCATGTGCCGTGAGGATCATCGTGGCCCCCAGTGCTTCCAAAGTTGAGTAGCCCTGATCTATACCAGTGGTCACAAACCAGTAGATTGGGATCTACCAGTAATCTTGGCGCCCCTAATGGGTGATCCTGACTCGTTTGGCCAGTAAATATAGTAATGTGTTGAGGAAAGTCAACATGGTTTCTGTAAGGGGAAATCATGCCTTACTAATATGCTAGAGTTCTTTGAGGGAGTCAAACAAACATGTGGACGAGGGGAATCCAGTGGATACAGTGTACTTAAATTTACAGAACGCCTTTGACAAGGTCCCTCACCAAAGGCTCTGAAGTAAAGTAAGTTGTCATAAGATGAGAGGGAAGGTCCTTTCGTGGATTGATAACTGGTTAAAAGAAAGGAAACAAAGGGTAGGAATAAATAGTCAGTTTTCAGAGTGGAGAGAGGTAACTAACGGGGTCTCCCAATGGTATGTCCTGAGACCAATCCTATTCAATTTATTTATACATGATGTAGAGAAAGAGGTAAACAGTGAGGTGGCAAACTCTACAGGTGATACAAAACTGCTCAAGATAGTTAAGACTAAAGCAGACTTGTAAAGAGCAATCAAAACTGAGTGATTGGGCAACAAAACGGCAAATGAAATGTAATGCTGATAAATGTAAAGTAATGCACATTGGAAAAAATAATCTCAACTATATATAGTATATGATGGGGAGTAATTTGGCTACATCTACTCAAGAGATAGAGCTTGGAGCCAAATGCTGATAAATGTAAAGTAATGCACATTGGAAAAAATAATCTCAACTATATATAGTATATGATGGGGAGTAATTTGGCTACATCTACTCAAGAGATAGAGCTTGGAGCCAACTGTGGATAGTTAGCTGAAAACATCCACTCAACATGCAGCGGCAGTCAAAAAAACTAATAGAATGTTAGGAATCATTAAAAAAGGGATAGAGAATAAGAGAGAATAGGCAGCAGGTTTAAAACAAACAAAAGGAAATTTTTCTTCACTCAGCACAGTCAACCTATGGAACTCCTTACCTGAGGATGTGGTGACTGATAGGAGTTTAACAGGATCCAAAAAAGAGCTAGATAGATTCATGGAGGGCAGGGCAGGTCCCTCAATGGCTATTAGCCAGGATGGGTAGGAATGGTGTCCCTACCCTGTTTGTCTGGAAATGGATGACAGGAGAGGGATCACATGATGATTACCTGTTGTGTTCCCTCCCTCTGGGGCATCTATATTGACCCCTGTCAGCAGACAGGATACTGGGCTAGGGGTGTTAAATATCGGTTAACTGAATAGTCAAGTAACCTCATGAATCATCATCGGCAAGTCAACTATTCTATAGTTCCCGAGGGCAGGGCCAGCAGCTACTTTATCAGATACAGCAGTGCTGGGTTTCAAGCTGTCTGCCTGCCTCACTCCTAATACACTTTAAATGCAGAGCCGCAGCAGGAGTAATTTCTGGACCCAATGTAAGCCAGAACTGAGCTGGGATGCTGGCCTGCCTGCTAAAAAATTTACTGGAAAGGATGGGGGAAGGGAGGGAAATGGATGTAATCTATAGCATTAACCTTTAAGCTTTTGCTTATCTGTTAATCAGCTATACTATTACATCCGTATATTAGGCTAAATAGACCTTTGGTCTGACCCAGTATGGCCATTCGCATTAACCTACTTATACTTTGGGCCATCACCACAATATCTGAAGGCAGTGAGTTCCACAAGCTAGCTGCATGTTGTGTAAAAAAGTATATCCTCTCATTTTATTAAACCTGGTGCCTATTACATTTTATTGAGTGACCCCCATATTTTTATATTGTGGAAAAGGTAAATAACTTAGCACTTACTACTGAATTTAATTTTTGTTGCCCATTCAATCAGTTTTGAGAGTCCCACATAACTCCTCAAAGTTTGCTTTGGAGTTAACTACCTTGAATCACTTTGTATCATCTACAAATTTTGACACTTGACTGCTTATCCTTTTCCATCATTACTGAATATTTTGAATGGCACTGGTTCCCAAGGAAAAAATAAGCAATTATTTGATCAACAACATCAGACAGAATTTTGACCATGTTAATCTTCGCTGCAATTTCACTGTGAAGCATCCTCAGAAACAAATGGAAATTCAGTATGGCATGTATACCTAACTCTGCATAGATGCATTAAGTGGCTTGACAA